AAGCCGAAGTCTCTATACGTTACTGCCACGTTACATTGCTGACAGAATGCAGTGTTTTATAATCTAGAGTTTGTAAAAAGGATGTAGTTCACGCACTGTCGAGTCAAGTGCCAGTGGTTTAGAGACCTGCTCCAGCGAGACCTGACGCAACAGAGTGCAGCGAGGGACAAGATGGGCGAGTGCTGGTGCGGGCAGGTAGACACTCGTGTGTGTGTGCAGGATGCGGGAGAATAAAATGATTCACGGGACTCCCGCAAAATAGAAATATCTAAACATAAAATATCTAAAACAAATAAATTGTTATTCATCTATTGCACAAAAGCAACATGAACTAATATAAAATATAAACGATTAACAGGTGCAAGCGTATGCAGAGTTTCTATTTAGGCTATAACACGTGTTTGCAGCATTGAGCAATGCAGTGCTGAAATGTGCATGCTCACGAATCCTCTCATTATAACACACGAATTGTAGACATTATGAAAGATTCATTATGCATATATGTATTGTGTTATAACAGTGATTTGTGAGATTGCGATGAACTGAGATGTCTTTTACAGATTATAAATGCAGCGCTCTTTGCTGGCATTCTGCCATGCCAAACCATGCACGCAGCAGCCGCTTGCTTTAGTTAAAAATAACAGTGTTCTGTGAATGTTGATGCTTTAATAACAAGTATTTATCGGGAGCGTGTATGCTGGGATTTCATAAATTTAATGGAGAAAAAAGTAACGTAACTAGTAATGTAACTAATTTCTAATTACTTTTGAAATAAAGTAATCCGAACAGTAACGTGATTACTTTTAAAAGGAGTAATCAGTAATTTGATTACATTTTCAGAGTAACTTGCCCAACACTGTACATAAGTTACACAAAGTTAGAAAAACAAAGTTTCTATTTCAAATAAATCCTGTTCTTCTGAACATTCTATTTGTTCTATAAGTTTCATGTTTCCACAAAAATATTAAGCAACTATTTTCAACATTGATAACAATAAGAATTTTTTCTTTGAGCAGTAAATCAGCATATTAGAATGATTAGAATAATCAGCATATTAGAAGGATCAAGTGATACTGAAGACTGAAGTAATGACTGCTGAAAATTCAACTATGCCATATAGGAATGAATTACATATGAAATAAATAAAATAAATAAATAAAATAAAATATATTTAAAATTGAAAACTATCGAACGATATATTTTTTTAAGTGTAATAACATTTCACAATTTTACTTCTTTTTAATCAAATAAATGCAGCTTTGATAAGCATAAAAGATTTCTTTTAAAAATTAGTTTGAATGGTAGTGTATGAACTAGTGTATGAGTATATAAATATGTATTATATATTTTATACATTTCTTTGTCATTGTCAAATTATGATGTATATAACAACAACAACCACAATAATAATAATAATTCATATTATTATTAACTTATCATTATAGTTTCTGTCTACTTCCTTGAAAACACAACTGTTTAACGCTGGACTGATAAAAACGGGAACACCACAAATCCTTGAAACGGTGTTTAAGTCGGTCAATTAGACTGGAACAAGTTCACGTTTTTGTGTGCAACAGCATCAGCTGCTCTGTGAACAGTCCGTGGGTGAGCAATCTGAGGATGAGACTACAGTACTGCTGGAATAAAGACACCCAGAAACAGGCATCTCTTTATTACACTATAAGGGCCCTAGTCTTTTAAACAAATGATACCATGCTAGAGAGCAGAATAAAACATCAGACCATAGGTTTCTGTCGATCAAAGCCCTTCCTTGTCCAGCAGCTGTCGCAACCATGTCAAATAACCCGACTAATAAACAACGCCTGAGTGCTTCTGGGTAAACAGATGGAGGCTACAACACTCTGTATCTAATCGACCATCACTGATAAAGCAGCGGCTGAATCCCTAGAATGACAAATAGAAGAAATTCTCTAAAAATCAACAACAATGGTATACTGAATTTGTAAAGCAACTCCGGGTAAACAGAACTGATGTGAGAATTTTCCCCTCAGAGCAATAGTGTGGGATTTTTTTAGGGTCTTGCATCTTAAGAATGAAAGCACCATTATGCAAAAGGTGATATTTATTACTGCTCCCTCATCTTGCCAGTTGTATAAAAACGTGATTGGATAAAGTTATTATTGCGTTGCCCGAGGAAAACAGCCCGTCCAAAAAAAACACAGACCTAAATCATTCTGAAGCAAAAAACAAAATATAGTTCATTTTGATTAATGTAATAACACACTGACTCATCTTAAAAATAAAAATAAATTAGTGGCAACAGACAGCTGAAACAGATGTCCTGCCTTAAAAAAGTCTTTGAGATCAGTTCGCAGGTGGCGCTTGTCTTGCATGAGAAGGAGCAACATGAGGTATTCTAAAATGAGACATCTCAAAGGGTCCATGCTGGGGTTTTTTCAACACTGAACACATGGCGTAGATATCTGCATCTACAACTCATCAGGAGCGGATAGAACTTCAGCCACTCAATATTTAAATGTTGGCCGATGTTAAAAACAAGAAAAATGTTCCAACTGATGTCCTTTTTGGATGTCCCTTATGCACCATTTGTTAGTTCCAAACTTAAATAGCAATATTTTTTAAAACAGCATCTGTTTCTAGCTGTACTGTTTTAATTAGTCAGATACATGTTTGTTGATACTGAGTAATACAAAATTAATACAAATCAGTGAATCATATGAACAAATATACTACAAATATTTTATCTCAAAATAAGATAGATAGATAGATAGATAGATAAACATAAAACGAATTGTAGAACAAACGAACAAACAATAGGCAGAAGGATTGATAGAATGATAAAATTAACGATAGATAACTATAGAGAACAAAGGATAGAACGAACAAGCTCTTGATTTGTTCATGAAATATACCTGGACATTTCATGGCAGTTTTGATGGGACTCACCCAGAAAGTGTAAGAGTGACATTGTGGTCCCAGTGCTGGGACTGTGTGACGACTCAAATTGCTCATTTGGGATTTTACAACATTAAAGAGCCCTTGAACTGTGTCCTTGCTCTGAGGAGACACCCTGCAGCTCGAACCAAGAACAATTAATCACCCCTAAACACGTAACAGGCAAGTGTGGATTATTTAATGTCCAGAGAAATGCTGTTCATGCTAAGATTACTGGCCGAGTCTGTTTCTTACATCCCCAAAACAACCCACACTAGTTCACGCTTTGAACTCTGCTGCAACTGCAGCTGCCCACAAATAGCAAATAAGATTTAATAAAACATGACTTAGTGGACATTGAACACAGAGTCCACTGCGCCCTGCTCCCGACTCCACACTTTGAGGAGAGGTTTTTTTTGTTTCCCCCTTCCTTTTATCACTACATTTCATCCTCTCTGCCTCCTTTAGTTTAAGAAACAACAATCTTTCCTTAACAGCTATGTCTAGAAAAAAAGGAAAGAGCATATAGAATAAACTTGCCTGGTTCCTAATAACTCCCCTAACTCTCTGCCCATCCTGTTTTGGAGCAGATCAAAGGTAATAATCCCCCATAATCCTCTGGTGTGCCCTTGCTGTTGTTATGGTCATTATAGGCTGCCGCATTGTTGCTAAGCTATCACGATTGTTCAGAGGAAAGCTACACTGCCTCAGTTTCACAGTGTAATGCCTATTTCACTGATGGACAGCCACTAGGATAATTAGATGGGCCCAGAGCGGACACAGCAACAACGTGCTTCTCGGACAGAGAACAAGGCCTCATTTTCGCAAACTAAGGGGTCAGGGAGGGTACAAAACACTCTTTGTAAAGTTAGTATAACAACTTTGTGTGTTACTTCGAAAGTTAGAGTGGATACAAAAATGAAGTGAAATCCTGAGTGAAGAAACTAAAAAAGCATGAAAAAAAAGAATAAATAAACAAGGTTTACACTTACCAAAGTGTTTTTGCATTGCAGTAGGCTTCATTTTTTTCTCTCTCTCTCCTTAAAAAATTTGACCCAGGCATTTCAAGAACACTTTTCCTGTTAATCTTCAAAAAGTGCAAAAAACTCTAGTTAATCTCTCTTTTGCCCCAATTCAGATCATGGTAAGAATCTGAATTATGGCAAAAGCAGCCTATTAGAGAATATGATTTTCTAAGATATTCTCATCTACATAAGTAAAAAAAAAAAAAAAAAAATTAAATTGAACAACAGCTACATAGGTTGGCAAATGGCATACGCTGTTTAATAGTTACGGAACCATACGAGGATTGTAAAACTGTGACACATATGCAATCATGATAGCTGCTTTTGTCTTTGCCAGAGCTGCTGTCAGAGGAGCCGTTACTATTTGTTGGCTGCATGCAGAACAAATTCTTTGGACGGAGGAGAATGTAAATTTAAATGGCTTCTGCAGATTACAACTGTGTTTTGGTTAAATGATGAGGCGGCAATCATACAGAGCCAAAGTAAAGTTTTTCCACTTCAATTCAAAAAAAAAAAGTGTACCTTCTGCAAGTTGAAATTTTGATATGTAACAGTTTCTCTGAGGCTATTTGGTTTGCCTGGTGCATAAAGGTTGTCAAATGGGACTTTTAGCATGCAACCATCCTAACCAGGTTTGGCGCAATGAGGCAAAAAGCAATAAAAATAATCACTCTTTAGTTTTTGTCCTACGCAGCACAGCTGCAACAAGTGGTAGGATGAAATTTTGCTTCAAAATCGTACTTTATGACGTAACCAACCGTATGTTAAACATCAACAGTCCTTTTCACTTCCAGTGTAGATGGACAAATTATTTGTCGCTGGAAACTTCATACCTGGTTAAGATAAGAATGTCAAGTTTGACAGCTTGACATTTTACCTGGTTTATTGTAAACTTTACCAGAAATATCCATAACAAGCAATTGTTTTATGCAGTAAAACCTTGGAAGTGATCAGTTAACCAATCTACAAGACTTAACTAAAGAATAACAGTGGGATTTATTCTCGATTCCTCACTGTACATCCTGTTTTTCCCAATAAAGATAGAGAAAGTCAACTCACCATTAGAGGGGGATACGGGGCCTCACGGCAAACCGGTGACAGCTATAGGGGCAGAGTTGGAAACGTTCTCCTTTGGGCAGAAGCCCAAGTCCCATCTCCTTAAGATTAAAACCTCAGAGGCTCTGTATAAGAGGCAGAAAACAAAAGCAGCATATCAGAAGCATGATAACAAAAACAGCGTCCGTCATTTTCCAGACCCTGTCGTGAGCCAAATAAACTAGCATCTTGCCTGAGAGCCTATGTATAGCCCCACAAATCCCACCGGCACCTTCAACGGCATGTTGCCAGAGGCTCCTAGGAAGGAGTGGTGTCTATGTGCAACCTTCATAGCACTAAAAAACATGGAACACTACACATGCAATTTAATTAACACATAACGTGCGCATTTACACTTCTGCACACATGGGAGACAAGTTTCTCTCTAGAGAGACAAGATGATAAAGTGTGAGGGGGGG